CTGAAGTTAAATCTTACTAAATGTACATTTGGTGCCAAATCAGGAAAACTATTGGGCTTTATAGTTAGTGAAAGAGGAATTGAAATGGACCTGGATAAGATAAAAGCCATCCAAAACTTATCACCTCATCGTACCCTGAAAGAAGTGCAAGTTTTCCTAAAGAGATTGAATTATATTACTCGTTTCATCTCTCAACTCACTTATAAGTGCGATCCTATTTTCAAGCTTCTTAAAAGATATGATCTAGGAGAATGGAATGATGAATGCCAATAAACTTTTGATAAGATTAAAGAATACTGGTCAAATCCACCTGTGTTGGTGTTGTTAATCTTGGGGAAACTTTTAATTTTGTACTTAATAGTGCATGAAAATTCAATGTAGTATGTGTTCTGGCCATAAAAAGATGAAACTAATAGAAAAGAACCAGCAATTTACTACTTGAGCAAGAAATTTACTGATTACGAGTCTAAGTATTCACCATTAGAGAAGATGTGTTGTGTATTGGCCTGGACAGCTCGAAAGCTCTAACAATACATGCTTTATCATACTACTTGGCTTATAGCAAAGTTGGATCCTATTAAATATATCTTCAAGAAGCCTTCATTGATGGGGAAAATAGTGCAATGGCAAGTTATACTTTAAAATATGATATTATTTATGTGATTCAGAAAGCTATAAAGGGAAGTGCAGTAGCCTAGTTCCTTGCCAATCGCACTGTCAAAAATTATAAACCAATGAACCTAGATTTCCCTAATGAGGATGTGACGGCTACTGAAGAAAATAAACTTATCAAAGAGTTTTGGAGAATGTATTTTGACAGAGTCATAAATGTTTTAGGCCATGGTGTTGGAGCAATCTTAATATCTCTCGATGGGCATTATTATCCATCACAGTCAGGTTGAATTTCAATTGCACAAACAATGTGGCTGAATACGAAGCTTGTGTTATGGGTTTGCAAGCGACAATTGAGAAAAAAATTAAAGTGTTAGATGTGTTTCGAGATTCAACTCTAATCATCTATCAGCTATGAGGAGAATGATAAATGAGAGATTTCAAGTTGATACGATACCATAAGTACATCTCTGAATTGGTCAAGTAATTCAAAAAAGTTTAATTTGAGCATCTACCTAGAAAGGAGAACTAAATTAGTGATGCACTGGCTACTATAGTTATAATGATTAAAATAGATGCAAATACTAAAATTCAACCCATCAGGCTAGATGTAAAGGATAAATCAGCACATTGTTCAAGTATCGAAGAAGAAGTTGATGAGAAGCCATGCTATCATGACATTATGCAATACATTAAAACCTAGCAATACCCAGAACGTGCAATAAAAAATGATAAGAGGACTATCAAAAGGTTGGCTATGAGTTTCTTCATTGATGAAGATGTCCTCTATAAAAGGGGTCAAGACCAAGTACTCTTAAGGTGTGTGAATGCAGTTGAAGTGAAAAGGATTATTGATGAAGTGCATGACGAAGTTTGTGGGGCACATGTAAATGATCATATGATAGCTAGGAAAATTATAAAGGCCATTACTATTGTTTGACAATGGAAAGTGACTGTATTAATTATACTAAAAAATGTCATAAGTCTCAAATCTATGCTGACAAGATCCATGTTCCTCTAACAACATTGCACATGTTGGCTCCTCTATGGCCATTCTCTATATGGGGTATGGATATCATCGATGCCATTACTCTAAAAGCTTCGAATAGGCATAGATTCATCTTTTTGATGATTGATTACTTCATCAAGTGGGTAGAAGCTGCATCATATGCTAGTGTGACCCAATCAGTGGTATGCAAGTTCATAAAAAAAGAAATAATATGCAGATATGGGCTTTCAAAAATTATTATTTTTTATAATGCCAAAAAGTTGAAAGTAAAATGATGAATGAAGTATACACTCAATTCAAGATCCATCACGTAATTCAGCACCATATCGTCCAAAGATGAATGGGATAGTAGGGGCTACAAATAAAAATATCAAAAGAATCTTAGAGAAAATGACTGATACTTATAAAGATTGGCATGAAAAGTTACCTTTTGCTTTGCATGCTTATAGAATATCTGTCCGAACATCTACTGGGGCCACCTTATTCTCTTTGGTATATAGAATAAAAGTTGTGCTACCAGTCGAAGTAAAAATTTTCTCGCTAAGAGTCCTGATAAAGGTAGAGTTAGACAAAGCAGAATGGGTTCGAAATCATTACGAACAGTTGAACCTTATTGAAGTGAAAAAACTAACAACACTTTGTCATGATCAATTATATCAAAAGAGGATAATGAGAGCACATGATAAGAAATTTCATCCCCATCGCTTTAGGGAAGGAGACTTAGTGTTGAAAAAGATCTTTCCAAATTAACAAGACAATTGAGAAAAATGGACACCAAAGTGGAAAAGCCCGTACGTGGTGAAAAAGGCCTTTTCTGATGGGGCATTAATTTTGGCAGAGATGGATGAAGGTGATTTACCTACTCCAATAAATTTAGATGCTATAAAAGAAATATTTTGCTTAAAAAAATGACTTATCTAAGCTGAAAATCTGAAAATATGGCTTAGATGCAAAAAAGAAGCATCATTAAGAAAAGATCCCATAATATAGGGGCAAGTGTAGTTTGACGAACTCTGAAAGATCAAAGAAGTCATTTGATTTAGTTTTAGAAAAAGAATCTGAGAATATTTTGTTCATAATTATCTTATGATCATTATTTGGGCACTTTTGTTTTGACTCAAACACTTTGCCATCTAATGAAATATGTTATCTTTCCTTTGGAAATAATGCCTATCCATTCCTTTATTCTCATTTTTTTGTTCACCATATGAATAGGAGAAATGTGCGATTGCATTTTGTTGGTCTTGAACTTAAAATGATGAAAAAAAACATGAACATGAAAGATTTCAACAATACTTTTTTTTAAAAAAAAAGTTGACAAAGTAGAAGAAATAGGATGAGAAAGGCATGATGAGACATTGTTGTTGCAGACTTTTGAAGAAGAAAAATATTGTTAAGGAAGAATACAATGGTTAGATGTTAAGAATAGGTTGGTCATATGGTAATTTATGGAGAATTCTGATAAAAAAAGCCAAAAAGTGAGAGATTTCAAGAACTTTTTTACTATAATGAATAATTTTGATTGCATTATATGCATTGCATTTAGAGCACTTAGTACATACATCTATAAGCAGTTATAATAAGGACAAAGACTTTCCATTTCCTAATGAAAAACAAGATTTTGATATTCGGATGAAGATAATAATCAAACAAAAGATTTCAAAAGAGAGAAATTTACTTGTTCAAAGTTGAGAACTTAATTTTAAGAAAAGATGAATTTTTAAAGTTGTTAAGCCTCTACTGAAAAGAGCTTTTTCAAGACAAAATTTTAAAGTTGTTGAGTCTCTACTGAAAGGAGCTTTTTCAGATAAAATTTTAAAGTTATTGAGTCTCTGCTGAGATGAGCTTTTTCAGATGAGATTTTTAAAGTTATTGAGACTCTGCTAAGAAGAGTTTTTTCAGATGAGATTTTTAAAGTTATTGAGCCTCTATTGAGAAAAGCTTTTTCAAGATGAATTTTTTTAAAATTATTGAGCCTATGCTAAGAGGAGCTTTTCAAGATAGATTTTTAAAGTTATTGAGCCATTACTGAAAAGAGCTTTTTTTTAAGATGGATTTTAAAGTTGTTGAGCCTCTACTTAGAAAGAGCTTTTCAAGATGAGAATTTTTAAAATTATTGAGCCTCTACTGAGAAGAGCTTTTTCAGATGAAATTTTTAAAGTTGTTAAGCCTCTGCTGAGAGGAGCTTTTCAAGATAAAAACTTTTAAAGTTGTTGAGCCTCTGCTGAGAGGAGCTTTTCCAGATGAAATTTTTAAAGTTGTTGAGCTTTTACTGAAAGGAGCCTTTTCAAATGAGATTTTTAAAGTTGTTGAGCCTCTATTGAGAGGAGTTTTTTCAAGATGAAATTTTTTAAAAGTTATTAAGCCTTTGCTAAGATGAGCTTTTTCAGATGAGATTTTTAAAGTTGTTGAGCCTTTGCTAAGAGAAGCTTTTTCAAGATTGATTTTTTTTTAAAGTTGTTGAGCCTCTACTGATAAGAGCTTTTTCAGATGAGATTTTTAAAGTTATTGAGCCTCTGCTGAGAGGAGCTTTTTTTCAAGATGGATTTTAAAGTTGGTGAGCCTCTACTTAGAAGAGCTTTTCCAGATGAAATTTTTAAAGTTGTTGAGCCTCTGTTGAGAGGAGCTTTTTCAGATGAGATTTTTAAAGTTATTGAGCCTCTGCTGAGCTTTTTTTCAAGATGGATTTTAAAGTTGTTGAGCCTCTACTTAGAAGAGCTTTTCTAGATGAAATTTTTTAAATTGTTGAGCATCTGCTTAGAGGAGCTTTTGTAGACGAGATTTTTAAAGTTGTTGAGCCTCTGCTTAGAAGAGCTTTTGTAGATGAGATTTTTGAAGTTGTTGAGCCTCAGCTTAGAGGAGCTTTTCAAGATGGATTTTAAAGTTGATGAGCCTCTACTAAGATGAGCATTTTTTCAAGATGAATTTTAAAGTTGTTGAGCCTCTGCTTAGAAAAACATTTCCAGATAAGATTTTTAAAGTTGTTGAGCCTTAAGTGAGATGAGCATTTTCGATTTGATGAGAAAAACTTTTTGAGTAGTTTATGTTCCAAAAAAAAAAGAAAAGAAAAATCCCTTTGGATTTCGAAAAAAATTATTATCTTTGTCTTTGCCCTATTACTGATTCTTAGCAATGTGCAAAGAGGGGCAACTGTAAACATCAAATTTTTTCAGACTTTAATTAATAGTTCTTGGGCTATCGGTCGAGATCCAATTTCAATTCAACTGGGCTTCAAGCTGATTTCAATTTAAATGAGTTTCAGGCCCGATTTCAATTCGATTGGGCCTAAAGTCTAATTTTCGATCGGGCTCGAAGCCCATTTTGTTCTTTAAGCCTAACATGCCTTTTAATTTTTTTTATTTTATTAAGTTAAACAAAAATATAAAAAAATACAAAATACAAAAAAAAGAGGGGCTGATGGCAGTGGTGCCTTGCACGGCACCACTAGCCTCCCACCCCTCTGATCACCCATCCCAGTGGCCACCATACCCTACCCTTTGGTCACCCATACTTTGTTCACCACTGACATCCCATGTTCACTATCCTCGCCCAGGCTCTTAGCCATCATGCCCTACCACTGTTGGATAAGATAAAAGAAATAAAAGGGGTATAAGGCTTGTGCTTGCACCCCCATGCTAAGCTTTGTGCCACTCTCTCAAGCACAGGGCACTATCGGAGCTCTATAAATAGAGCTCCTGGCCGAACCCTAAAAAAAATCAACAAGAGGGGATGCTACCAAAAAATGAAAAAAAAAAAAACTCTACTAAAAAATAAACACAAAACAAAGAAAACACAAAAACTCAATCCCTTGGAACAAGGAACCCAGTGCCCAGATCACCTACAAAAAAAGAAGCAAAGTCAGTAAAAAAAAAGGTCATAATATAAAAAAAAATTTTGGTCGAATCTTTCAAGCCAGATCTGTTTAATTTGGAACCTTTTTTCATATAACTGAGCTTAGATCTAGACTCACGAGGTCGTAATGAGTTTTTTGGGGGATTTTGAAATTTTTTGGCATTGGCGACGGTGGTCAAAGTTCGTCAACGGCGAGGAACACGGTGGGTGATCACCGACCCCAAA